CAGTGAAAACTAAGAGCCTTCGGAGTAGGAAAGTTGGAGGTGTGGGGACAAACGAGTTATTCGAAGTAATTATAATATATGTATGTACGATGGTTGAAAACAAATTTGCAGCAGGTGTGCAAATATACCAAATTACAAGCCCGTACACACGAAACTACACACTTGGTAGGGAGAGTGAGTGCCCCCCAACATGCATATAACTGTATATACGTCAGCAGAGCGAGGTACGGGGACTACAACACTGCAATTCTCACTAATTTCCAATAACAAATGCAATCAAACAAATATATGAGCCCCGGTGCATATGTACACGTATGTATGTAGTGCTCGCAGTTGGCCTAGGCCGTTTGGCATTTTGACAGAGAGGCACAAAACGAGCTGCGAACAGCCTATTGGTGGAATGAGCACTGCCTTCTTGACCAATAACAACGGCTGAGGGACACAGCAACAAAATCCGTCAAGCCTGGGATAACATTTCGATGGACATTTGCATGTACGCATGCAAAACCAGTCGAACGCAAGTGCACACACGTGTGTCGGTGTCCAACTACCATCCAGCCACACAGAAAGGCAGCAAGTTTGAGCTATAAAATAGTGCACAATTATACAAAGGTCGAGGGAGGCAGAGTGTGCGATGAAGGAGTGAGTGAGATAATATCATGTGGGGCGACGGGAGCTTCGAAGGGGTGGCCTGGATAGGTAGATGTTATTTGTAGTTGTTACTGGCAAGGCTCCACTTGGTGGACTATATGCGGAATAGATAGAAAAGAGGAGACCAATTACATATAACGAAGTGTTCGCCTTCTGTACTTTCTACGCTAACTGAGATCTTGTGATGAAGCCCCTAAAATTCGACTTTCAGACCTACAAGTTCTAAAACTACTATCCGATGTGAAGCCTCTAACTCGGAGTTCTACATTTTTCCCAGCTCTGCACTTACGATGTGAGTAAATTTTGTTTGAAGTCTCGTTGCAATACCGTACGACAGTTCGAAATTCCGCTTTCAAGGAGGCATTAAAGCCGTCTTTAGCACTATTTTAAGCCTCAGTTTATAGGCAGACGAGGTCAAGGGTAGGTCGAGGAGAAAAAACTAGCAAAGTGCCCTCAACATGGGGGAGCCGAATGCTAGGTTTCCACTTGAGATGCAGGCTCATCTTAGTGCGATGGAATAGTTTTGAAATAATGGAATAACGATTCGCTAAGAATCAATCAACGACTTCCTAAGCTTTCTTTCATAAAATATCATTATCGGAATGCTACCTCCAACAGAAGCCTAGTAGTCCTATCCAACGGGAGTTTCTATACAAACAAACTAAACTCATATCCCCGACATACATACCTGCATCCAATGAGTACCCACAGCACAATAACGACCTCCTTTTCGCAGGTACACTATGCACACCTATTAACGTCCCTCACCTTTTGGTTCGAAAGCAGTCAAGCTAGAAAACAGTTTGTTTCCTAGACCATCCACCTGGATGCCAAGGACTAGTTTTTACTATTTTTTCCTAAAATGAAACGAGAAAATGACTACAAAGCTAACTCCATCCGAAGTCTTTTCAATCGGACTAGATCTCGAAAGAAACTTGGTTAGGGACAAATCAGACATTCTTTCGTCCTCCTTTCACAGAGAGGCCCTAACCGAGTTCTCGCTCGGCGTGACATCTAGATCCCTTCTGAGCTACGGAAAGCTGCTCCATTGAGAACTCTTGGAACGCACGCCCGAAGGACAACCAGTATCCGTAAACGCAAGAGCCCAATAAAAAGCAATCGATGACGAGTATTTGCCTGTAATAAAGCCAGCCACTACAGCCGCAGCATAAACCACAGAATGCCATATTCAACAAGAGTAACCAGCAAACCGAGAAACGACATTGCGTGCAACAATATGAGTCTGACGTTATGGTCGACGAGGAATGCACCATGTCAACCTAACCAAAAATTTGCAAAAAAAATAAGGATAAAAATATTTGAACTGCAGGCCGTGTGTGTGTCCACGTACAACTGACTCGGGTTAAGGTTTGTCCAAAAATACAAACAATGTGGCGAAACCAAAATGGAGAAGCCGCGCAAGAGCAAGAGGAGGAAGGTTGGACTTTTTAGGCACAAAATTTTGACAAAACATGAAAATGCCAAAATCAACGGTAAAAGCATAAGCAGAGGAGTCGAAGAATGTCGAGAACGCGACAGAAAAGCGCATAGCATGAGACTTACACACAGAGAGACACATTTTCGGTGCACAAATTTAAAGTGAAACATAGAAGCCCAACAGGGCGAAGTGTTCGCTAGCATTTAAAGGACATTAGAAGGGAAAACTTTCGACTTTTGCAAGTTGTTGAATTTTGTCAGTCGAGCTGAGTTGAGTCGAGTGAAGTGAAGTCGAGCGCTTGCTGCTGGCTCTAAACTAACCAACAAACGAAGTAAGTATCCATCGGCTGGCACTCAACAGAGGACAGACAAAACGACGCACTTTAAAGGGTGTAACTCAGCTCTCAACAGCCCACCCACCAGAGCTCGAGCACTTCCACCTTCCTTCCTGCCCTCACAGGTCGGTCATGCGTTCATTTTGCCTCTTTAATGCCAATCTTCACTTGAATGAAACTGTTGTTCGCTATTCATAGCATGCTTTTTTGGTAATACCCCACATCAACCGGGGTGGGGGGGAGTTTAAAACATCCGCTATAGTTTTGCTGTTGTTAGTGGTGGTGCGCAATAAAAAGGGTTGAGCTCTTGCTCTGCTTGATGTAGGTGTTGGGTGATTAAATTCGTGCATGAAGTTTGCATGAAAATTTTAAATGAAGCTTTTGCGTCTGCTGAAAGACCACCGACCGCCGCCACCACATGCTACGGATGAGTTTGGCTGATTGGGTGGTGGGTACGTGGGTTGGCTGTTAGCTGTTGGCTGTTGGCATAAATAAGTTAACTGCTTGGGTTTTACAGATAAATATTTGGGTTGATATGCATGAGTATATATATATATGTACATACGTGTATGTATGTAAGTGTAAAAAAGAGCTTCAAGTGTGTGCCTGTGTGTTTGTAATATTCTATTTTCGTATTTAAAGAATTTAATTTGGAAATGAATTGCAGTTGCAAAAAGTTGGGAGAAGTTAAATTTTGTAGCAACCAATCAGAAAAGTAAAGTTCCCATCCAGCGGTTGCGGTGGGGTTCATGTGTGTCTGTATCAAAGTAGGAAAATCTTTACAAACTTTTCGGACTCTTTTGAAAGGAGTAAAGTTTTCAAACGAGTCATCAATTTAATAAAATGAAAATTCGTTGGAGCTGCTCCACAAAGAGGAGAGAGACATAACTGGCAAAAAGTGAATGCCCTAGCGGACGAGGAAACCTAACGAAGCTTCCTCTTTCGACGAACAAAGACCAAACTCTACAAGTCGCTTATCATTCATGTCCTACTTTATGGCGCGGAAGCGTGTAGATATCAACAATATCCGATGAGCCGACTCGGTATGCTTTTGAGAGAAAAGTTTCGTCTTGTATGTTTAATATAAAATTTTGTTTCCACAGAAAATTCTTCCTTGAAGTGTTCACAATTGTAAAAAGAAATACATATGTATATGCATAAAGCGGTTGAGAATAACACTTGTAGTTATACGAAAAACATAATTTGAGGGCTCTTCCAGTAGTGGGATTATTATTGTATTTTTAATTATTATTATTATTATTTTTTCAGTTTTCTGTTTACTATTGTATTAACATAAGTTTTTGGTGACTCCAGCTGGCGAGTGGTTAGCACTGCGTACTATCATTCGGAAGGCCATTATTTGAGCTCTGGTTAGTCCAACATTCATATTTTTTATAATTGCGGTCGCCTCTTGGAAGGGAATACTATTTGATGGGGAAATCTCAAGCCATATTTTATTATTTTGACAAATTATTTTTAGCTTTCATTGTATTTTTAAAATAGTTTTTTTTTTGTTATTATTTTATATTTTAATTATTTTTCTACTACTATTTTTATTATTACTTATTATAAATTCATTATTTCTTTATAGTTTTTCTTTATTATTTTTTTAATTTTATTTTTTCCATTATTTTTTTCTTTATTCTTTTTTCATTATTACTTTTATTTCATTATTTCTTTTTCATATTTTTTTTTATTATTATTATTATTTCATTAATATTATTTCATTATTATTATTATTGATTATTTTTATTTCATTATTATTTTTTCGTTATTATTTTTTTATAACTTTTTACTTTATATTTTTTCCTTATTATTATTTCGTTATTCTTTTACATTATTATTAATATTATTTTATTATTATTATTTTGTTATTATTTTATTATTATTATTTTATTATTATTATTTTATTATTATTTTTTTATTTTAATTATTTTATTATTATTATTTTATTATTATTATTCTATTATTATTATTTTATTATTATTTTATCAAAAAAATGATAATTATCATTACTATTTTTTTACCATTATTTTTTTTTTTTGCTATTATTCTTTTTTACTGTTTTTTATTATTGTTTTTTCATTATTATTTTTTTATATTTTATAATTTTTTTAATATTATATTTTTTCAACTTTTTTAGTTTCATTTTAATTATTATTTTATTTTTTAATTTATTTTTATTTTTTATTGCTATTATTTTTTTATCATTATTATTATTTTATTAGTAGTTTTTTATCATTTTTTTTTTATTTTTTTATTTAAATTTTATTTTGTTTATTTTATCATTTTAATATATTTATTTTTTCATATTTATTTTTTTATTTTTTCATTTTTATTTTTTCATTTTTATTTATATTTTCGTTTTTAATTTTTTTCATTCTTATTTTTTTTTNTATTTTCTTTTTTTCATTTTTATTTTCTTTTTTTCATTTTTATTTTCTTTTTTTCATTTTTATTTTATTTTTTTATTTTTATTTATTTTTATTTTAAGTCAACTTCCTTCCACGATTTCAAAGTCCTTCTCATATTTTTTCTAACACATCCTTTCACTTCTCGAATTTGACTTTAACTTACCTGGCACTTCTATTTTGTCTGGATCTTCATCATCATCAAAATCGGAACATGAATCATCATCATCACCTAAATCGAGATCATCGTCAAAATCAATGGACTTTTTCAATGAAGCCTATAAGTAGAAAGGATGAAAGGTATTTTGTTAAAAATTAATTAATTAATTTAATATTTAATAATATTTAATATTAATATTATAAATGGAAAACTTTCTCAGACTGTTTTTACTGTTAGTTCTAGAGCTATCCGATTTTGATCGAAAAAAAATCCCAGGAAGAGAATATTTCGAGAGTCGATTTCAACGGTTTTTTCACCCAATCGTGATTTGGATTTCAAAAGCAAGCTTTCTTCAAAAAAATATCATAACTAAAATATCTTGAAATTATTTCAAATTAAATTCAACAATACTCCTGCCAGCCGAATCGCTGTACACAGCCAAACTTTCCAATTCCCAATTCAAAGCTCACAAGTCAACTTTTCATTGCAGCTTTAACAACTTTAAATATATCGACGATAAAAGACTGCAAAGGAGGAATGTGTAACTTTAAATTCTCAACCCTCCTAACTCTTTCCACATGCCCAGCTCGAATGAATGCAGAAAGGCAGAACGGTGGAGCAACTAACTCAGCCTCAGAACAAATGTTGGCAACACAAAAATCGATAGTGAGACTCCTCGAATAGCACGGGGAGCACATCAAACACACAGACGCTGTTGGGTTCATTGAATTTTGGGCGCGGATTGGATTTTAGAATAAAAATTAGTTGAACACGAAAAACACTCACTGAGTAGCTTACGGGAATAGCAATTTTAATTTAACACTGTTTTTGTAAAAACACCAATGAAACTTCCTTTCCTTCCTTTCCTTCCTTCCTCTCTTCGGTAGGCTTTTGGTTGATACTTGTTTTCTACCTTTTTTATTTGTATTTTGCCGAGGAGCTAACAAACTAGTGACGTCTTTACTGCAACCAAAGTACTCATCAACTGGCACTGGTGACTGTGCTGATGACTATGAACGACCGGGTCACGCAACTCACGACAACAAACTTAACAAATTTTCATTTCGCATATAAAGCATGTAACTATAATTTGTTGTTATTGTTGTTATATGGTTAACGGGAGGCTTGATATGGCAAAACAACACAGAAAATAACAAACACACAACGCGCAAAAGCGAGCGAGGAACTACGTATGTATGTATGTATGTATGTATGTATGTATGTATGCAGACGGAACATCGGAACAACCCTTTTCGATAAGGATATCAAGACAACAGCAGCAGCAGCAGAAGCAACAGCAACAACAGAGCACCAACAACCAACAACCAACAACCAAGTGTAGCAACAAACAGCCGTCGAACAAAAACAAAGGCAAACGGGCGATGGGAAAGTGGGTGGGGTGGGTGGCGCACACAAGCCGGCTGGAGACTCAGCTGGTATACATCTGTATATGCATGCATCACGAGTAGAGTGTGAACGGGGAGGCAAACTGTACGGATGAAATATGCCGAATGGCTGGATTTATGAAGGAAAGGCCCGATTCGAGTAGGACCGTGGGCATTCATTTTGGATAGTACCAAATACTGTAGTGGCAAACAAGCAAGAGGCTAACACCACAGAGGCACAGACGTGTAGTACATACATCAATTAGCGAGCGATACCCAATTTAACTACAAACGCACACACACACACACATATATATATATAGATAGCAACTAACGAGGTGGCTACAAATAAATACGCAAACACTTGAACAGAACTAACGAAGGGGTAACAACTAACCAAGCAAACCAACAACTGCACTCGTTGCAATGCAGTACAAACAATAGTTGCTGCAGTTGTGTCGCATTGCCGGACGCTGAGGCCTATAAGTGCTTACGAAGAATTAGGTAGAGGGGGGAAGGGTGCAACATAAATTGACGTGCAACATATAAACCATACGAGCTCGAAGCTTACTGCAGTTTGCACCTGCAAACAACTCGGTCGGTGTGGGTCACTCTATACTCCCTAACCCGCCCTAGGGACGTCCCCCAGCTAAGTTGTTAGTACATTGGTATGTAAGAGCTTAGAAGCTCTCGAACTCGGTTACATACAACTCCTCTCCCTGCTACTTCCTCTCGGAACTTCCAACGAGTTACTTTGCTTTACTATACTGGGTTGGTTAAGGCCGCTTAGCTGGTCAATTTTTATTAAAAAATAACATTCAAATATGTTTGTACGCATATTCAAGCTCGCGTACCGGCGCTGTGTAACTCTTTGCGGCTATCTGAGAATCTTACTACATGTGTATATGTATGCAGCGATCGAGGAATCTTTGGTAAATTCATTTAATATTAAGATTGAAAAAAGCTCACAAAAAGCCATAGCAATCGCAGGTCGAAGCCTAAAGCCTGCGAAAGCCCGCTACAAATAGTTTCAAATCTCTCACAAAGCTCTTTTTACAATATGTGAAGCAGCTTGTAGCTTTAATTACAACTTATAGCTCAAAGGACAGCTAGGAGATCCTCATTTAACCTTGTCTAGCTCAAATAAGCTTCTCAAGAACTTCTTAAATGCCCGCATTTGAGCTTAAAGCTCAGAGAAAAACATTAAGAAACAGAGAAGGTTAAGAGAAATCTATCAGAGTTAAATCAAAAAACATGCTTAAAAAGCTTTAAAATCTGTATGTTTGAGCTTAAAGCTCAACAGCCAAACCAGCAAAATATTTTCCAAAAACTTTAATTGGATAAAAATGTTAAAATTAAAATTTTATTTGCAACATCCTACCGCCTGGCCGTGCTCATAACTTTCAGAGCTTTTGGAATAGCATGGAATTTAAAACGAAAACAAAGCTTTCAGAAAAATTGTATGTGCTGCTCGGCTATGGTTTACAAAGAAATTTTTTGTCACAAAAAGTTTGAAATATGATAAAGGAATTTTAGTTTTCAACGCCATAGCGTATAATTGGCTGAATATTCGAGTTTCACAACTGACTTTTGCTAACCAAGAGCTTTAAGCTTGTAGAAGGGTTTTAAATAGAGTTAACAAAATGTTAAAATTAGTCGGGGGGAAAAGCAAAAGGTACTGCAACTGGAAATCACATTTTTTCAAAAAAACTCTCACTTAACCTCACTTTTAACGCTGGTTATTATTTTTTTTGATAAACTTTTGATGTTTGTTTTTTTATAAGCCTAATTTAAAAAAAAAAAATAACAAAAATTTCAAAAAAATCTAAAAAATTTCAACTTTTTCGACACCATATTTGTAAATTTATGGAATAATGAAGGAATTAGAATTTGTTTGTTTCTTTTTTTATTAATTAAAATTTAAAATTTTTTTGGAAATGGAAAAAAAGATCAGTGTGCATATTTTTCCATCAAAATTTGTTTTAAAAAAATAATTCTCTTTTTATTTTTAAATGGAATTTTTGTTTTGTTTTGAGAATTTCAATGAAAATAAAAAAAACCCCAAAATTTAAGTCCAGTTTTTGAACATTCCAGTTTAAGGTTTTATTATTTTAAACCAAATGACATTCTGCGACTGGAATTTTGAGTACTCTGAACTCACCTTTCTTAAATTCCAACACAACGAATTGAAAATGAAAAAATTTCTTCCCGCTATCTTTACCGTTAACTATGCCAGCAAACACAAACTCTAATCCAAAAACAAATGACCTTGCCAAAAGAAGTCTACCAACACACGCATATCCTGTTTACACAGAAAAAATATGAAAATAATTATCAAAAAAAAAAAATGGCAAATAGAAAATCAGCGCACTTTTCCGCCACCAAATGTCCTTTGGCCTACATATACATGCATGGAAAAAATATAAGCATTGTGTATGTACGAACAAAAAAAATGGATTTCTCTAGGATACGCATACAAATTGTTGTCCTGCCGTAACGAATATAAAAATGAAAACAAAATATGCCGATAAAAGGTTAGAAAACAAATCTCTATATAAAGTAGGTATGTGTGTAGCTAAAATCACGAAGGAGTTGAAAAAATAACCAAGAAAAAATAATAATAGATATAAAAAGAGAAAAAACACGAGAGAAAACGATTTGGGAAAACTAGCACATGCGAAGGAAAAAATTACGAGCAAAACAAAAATGGCAAAAAACAACAATTACATAGAAATTGTGCATATTTAAGTACACTGTGAGAAAATGCAATGTTCAAGAAATTGTTGTGGAAGAAAAATTCTTCAAATAACAGTATACACATGCAAGGATTTAGGGTTGCAAAAAAAATATTAGAAAATTTCTCCGTACATATTCGGCACTGCTGCTGCTGCTGCTGCTACAGTTTACATATCCTTTTTGATGTATACATTCGCAGGATATGCGCTGGTGGTGGTGGTGGTCTTGTCTCGTCGTCGTTATGTTTGAGTGGGTGGGTGCGCAGGCCCATGCGCAGAAACTAAGGTATATGAAATGCAAAATATATGTATTTCTATATACATACATACATGCATGCATATAGTATGTATGTAAAATATCAAGGTACAGGACCAAGCTGAAAGCTCAAATCAAATAAACTTTTGCAGGGGTGGCTTTGAATGGTATTTCAACTGCTTATTTGTATTTACATAAGTACGTATGTAGGTATGTACATAGAAAAATTTACACCTCTAGGGATTCGCTTATCAATAAATGTAGCTTTCCCAGGCAGTACAACGGCTATAAATGTACGCAAGCCTACCTTCGAGCCAAAAATTTTCAACAAAAATTAACAGAAAAAATATAAAAAATTAAAGAAATATAACTAAAGAAAATATTAAAACAGGTATAAAAATAAACATAAAAAACAATAAAAAAATACAAAAATATATAAACAAAAACGTAAAGAAATACCAAAAAATTTTAAAGTAATATGAAAAAATAAAAAAAAAATTGAAATTTACAAAAAAAAAAATATGAAATAATACAAAATATTTTAATAAATAAAAATAAAATAGAAACAATTACAAGAAATAATACAAACAAAATAAGCATAAATAAAAAATGAAAAAATAAAATTAAAAAATAAATATAAAAAAAATAAAAAAATAATTATAAAAAAATAAAAATATAAATATAAAAAAATAAATATTAAAAAATAAAAAAAATATATAAAACAATAAAAAAAATAATATCAAAAAAAAAATTATAAAAAAAAATAATAAGAAAATAAATATAAAAAAAATAAATATAAAAAAACTAAAAAAATAAAAAAAATTAATATAAAAAAATAAAAATAAAAAAATAATAAATTAATACAAAAAAGTAGGCATTTAAATTTGAAAAATATATGACGAAATAAAAAAAACTTAAATAAAAATTGAAATTTATACAAAAAAAATTAAGAAAAAATTTAAATGGAAAATAGGAAAATATAAAAATATATAAAAAAATATAAAAATAAATAAAATATATTTCAAAAATATATAAAAAAAAATATAAAAATATATAAATAAATATATTTCAAAAATATATAAAAAAAATATAACAAAAAAAATGTATATAGAACAAAAAATTTAAAAAAGTACATAAAAAATATTAAAAAAAAAATAGAGAATAAAATATTAAAAGAAGTAAAACAAAGAAGAAAGGAATAAAAGGAAACTAATCTGGCACTCACTTTCTCAAAAAAAAAAAAAAAAAACGAAAAATATAAAGAGCAGATAAAATATATTACAATAAAAAAATTTAACCAAAATATATACAAAACTTATACAAATTTAAAAATATATATGTATATATTAATTAAAAGTAATATAAAAAATTTAATACAAAAATTAAATAAGAAAAACAATTTAATTTAAAAAAACTAAAGGTCGAAATACTATCAGAGAAAATTAAAAAAAAAAATAAGAAGTGGTAACAAATTTGGATCCCTCTCAACTAATTGAAATTTTCTTTTTATTTAATAAATCGTATTTTTTAATAATTTTCGGTAATTTTATCATTTACATTAAAAATTTAGATTAAATCAAACACCAAATAAAGTGATACATAAAATTTAAAATACAATACAAAAATAAAAAGTTTTGATTTCTGTATGTAGGTGAAGTTCTCAAAAAAATCTTTCTTTTATCAGTAATCATCAACACTTAAATTAATTCTAAATAAAATAAAATTCTTCACTAATAGCTAAGATTTTGTTAAATGAAAAAAATTGCCTTTAACTGCTTAAAAATTAAATTTTCCGTATGTATGTATTTATAAATTAGTAAATTTGAATATTTTTGAAATTATTTTTATAACTTTTGGAGCATTTTTACGAAATTCTAGTTTTGCTTTTAAATCATGCGATCTTTTTTTTTACTTCTTAACTTAAACATTTAATTTTCCACATTTGAACTTTTATGGAATTCAGACAAACAAAATTCAAATATTTTTAATTAATTGAAGACTTTTCATGTCAAACACGTACATTTAAGACAATCATTTTTGTTTTAAAATATAATAAAATAAATAGATTAAAATAAAAAATCATTAAAATTAATTAAATAAAAATTTTAAAACCAAGACAAGATTAAAAATTTCATAAATAAATATATGTATATCCAAAAAAATTTAATAAAATATATTAGGAAAAAAAACAAATGTGTTTAGTAAAATTTGCAGGTATTTATTTTTATAAAAATAATATAAAATAGTTTTTAAATTCTTGGAAATTACCGCCACAATATTTTTCCATTTATTAACGATAAATCAACTCTGCTTTGATTTGCAAATTGTCACAAATTCAACATACACACACACACCCGTGTACTTATTTAACAGCTGGCCGTCAGCTTCCGGTACGCCAACATGTGTCAAAAAGAGATAACCATAGCATGTGATTGGGCTTGTAACAACAACAACAACAAAAACACGATGTCAAAGAATTATAGAAAAAGAACAAAACATAGGCAATGAGAGAAAAGAACGAACATGATAAGCGCAAACGACTTGATGAAACGACGACACAGGGCAACGTGCAAAGAGGAAAAAAACAAAAACGAATGTCTCCATCAAAAAGGAAAATGCAAAATAATCATTGTGATGGTTGATTTTAAGCTGAAAATTTTTTTCCAAAGACATTCAACACACATTATGAGCACGCTAAATTGCGATTTCATTTCCTTATGCACCGAATTTACATATCACATTTGCACAACGAGACTTGTTACCTGGAAGCAAACACAGCCCAGGCGCTTCCGACTTTACAAAAAATTACGAAATAATCAGCAAGTACCTACAACACTGAAAAGGCAGCGTGCCAAAGTGTGTGCGCTGTGCCAAGATCTTCTCCAGCACTCTACACTGGCAATATTATAAAACAACACAAAATTTAGAATATATTTTGTTAATAAAAATTTTATTATTAAGGCGTAGTAACATGATTTGGTTTTACTTTGTTCGCTGGCTGGTTGACTGGCTAACTCAGTTGAGCAGCGCAGCGCCTGCTGTAGAATAGAACAGCGTGTGCTTTGCCTCAAACGCTTTTTCTATCAGCTATAAAAATGCGTTTAGCTTGACAACCAAATAACACCTTCCTACTCACCATGTTTGTTAATATGCGATCTTGTCGGACACGTAGGAAATGCACAAATCTATTTTATTCAATTTTTTTATTTTAATTTTTCCCTTTTCTTCACAACACAATCCGGAAATTATATTCGTAAGCGAATTTACGTTTATATCACACGCTTCGCACAATTTTTCCCTTATTCCGTACTAGTCGAGTTTCCGAAATCAACTGGCACATAGAGTTGCCGAGCGCTAAAGTTAGATTTTTACTTGCAGGCCCTTGCCACATGCGTGGAAAGTGTGATAGCACTCATATTGAGGTTGGGTGTGCGACTCGGGTAAAAATTTATTAAATTTTTTATGGGTTTTTATAAAAACCTTAATTTTATGATCTAGTTTTTCTCATTTTATGGGTAAACCAAATCAAATATTTTTCTTTACATACAAAAAAAATTAACAGTAGAAAAGGTTAATTACATTTTTTTTTTTCAGTCACCCTGCTGGAATGACATTTTTTTGATTTCATTTATTTTTCATATTGCTTACACATTCTTGCAAGAGAGGAAATTGAATAGTAGGAATTAAATTATAAAATATGCTCGTTTTAAAAAACTGTGTACACTTCGGTTTAAAATTTTCTTAATATTATTTCCCTAAATCTTGTCTGAAATTGAATATGTCGCCCTGTTTTAAAAAATATCACCCTGCACTGCAAGGATATTTTTTGGAATACGTTTGACTCGAGCCATACAGACAGGAAAAGGAAAAGCCGAGGTATTTCCGAAACTTTTTTAATATTGAAGCGTATTTCATAAACAAATATTCGAAAAATAAGAGGCCTAACTGTGCTGAAGTGTTTTATGTTACTAAAGCACGGTGTCTTTAGTGGTTGGCGTGTAGCAGAGTTTCAAGAAATACCGAGCATTTCCGTTTTGAAAGTTATGGTAAATAACGATCGTAGAGGATACTGCTTTTCAGCTTTTAAATAAATACAAATTTGTTTTGTTCAGCATATGTTTAAAAACGATGAATTTTGCTGGATGCGCAGGCATAACTTGATACAATGTATTTTAAACCACCCAACTCCCAGCTTTTTAAGCAAACATACTCCACCAAACATAAAAGCAGCTACTGGCCACTTATCCGGCTCTAAACTTACTAGTTCAAATTTTTTTTTTTCATTAAAAAAAACCACCAAATTGCCACACAATTTGTAGACTTCTTTATTTTTTCCACATTTCTGCACACATGTGATAACAATTTAAGCACAATTAAATGTGTCATATACTTTTACACATACATAAACATATTTCTTGTATACTTTGCATTTTTTTCACAACTAGAAAACATTTTACATTTTCTATATACATATATATATATTTTTATTAAAATGCATCACTATGGAGTACAGCAAAAAATGCGAGAATTTGAATGTTTTACAGTATGCATTAGATTTTCTTTAATTGTTTTGTTTTCTTCTTGTAAGCTCTTTAAATGCTTATGAATTTGAAAGTTTTTACATATACACATCTATTATAAATAAAAACGTGTTCATTATTTGGTATGTGGGCAAGTTATGCATACCAATTTTATTATTAAACAATACTATGTCGTAAATTATATAAGTTGAATGAACTCAAGGGGAAAGAGAATTATTACAAGAGATAAGAAAGAATTAGTTGTACTGAATTCATTAGTTTTGTTTTTATACATAAATTATCGTTAATATAAGCTATTTGTTATTTGTTCTCTGTTATACATATACAAATTGATTTGCTTTTGTGCACAGAAAGTTCTGCATTACACCTCGCACTTTTAAAGTAATTTCATTATATTTTAAATTAATTATATACGTAATGCTAAAATAATTAGCTTTTTATACAATATACACACATGAACATGCGAGCCTGTTTGTATGTATGTTTAGTAGAAGACAAGTGCTGCAAATGATACGAGTACACGGTACATACGTGTACATACAAATGTATGTAATTTCAATATTGTAGATTCACAGCTACGTTCGTAAGTTAAACGGTTACTTTTTATAAAAAATTATATGTTAACTTTACTTAGAATGTTAATTTGTTGCGCATAAGTAAAAGCTATTTATCATAATAGAAGACAATTGAAATGCAATAATGTTTAATTGAAAATGATTCAACGCTTAATTCAATTTTTCACAAATTGTTAAATATTTAGTAAATTGTGCCATACAATTTATGTATGTCTGTTGTGTATATAGTATACTATGTAAGTATAAATTAATCACAAAGTTAAATTATATAACTGAATTGCACAGCAAAGCAGCCTATTTATGTATGTATCTAAATAGTATTTATATATTGTAGTTTGTGGCCTAGAGCGCTGCGACATTTAGGAATATCTATGTATGTCTCATAACATTATTTTTTGCGCTATATCCTTGAGTTAAACTGCTTGCTTTTGCTCCTAATAAATTTCCACTGATTTTCTAAACTAATTAATTACCATCACTATCTGATACTTGTAGCTAATTTGCTGTTCTGATTTGCTTGTCTGCGCTGGTTGGCTGATTTTCATAAATTTGACCGAAATCATGTTCGGCATTTGGTGTTACCGGCGATAAATTATTATTTTTCGATTGCCGGTGTAATTTCGGTGCAGCAGCTTGTTGTTTGGGCGCAGTGAAAACCTGATCGGGAAGATGAAACAGAATGTATGTTATTTTAATTTATGTTTAATTTAATTTCAATTTCTAACTCTAATTAAATTTTTATAATTTTATATATTTTTTTTTTTGATTTTTTTTTATTTATTTTGTTTTTTTTTTTTTATTTTATTTTATTATTAATGTATTTATTAAGATACAATAAAATAAGATAAAGAATTTAGAATAAAATCGAATGAAATAAATTTTCTTTTATTTTATTTATTTATTTCAATTTTTTTATTTTTTTTTTTGAATATTTATTTTAATTATTATTTTTTTATTATTTAATAACATCTTGTAAAATGTTGTTTATTTAATTTATAATTCAATTTTTATTCTATTTCAATTTTTTTTGCTTTATTTCTTTGTTTTTTATTTATTTATTTATTTTATTTATTTATTTATTTTATTTATTTATTTATTTTATTTATTTTATTTATTTTATTTATTTTATTTATTTTATTTATTTATTTTATTTATTTATTTTATTTCTTTATTTATTTTATTTCTTTATTTATTTTATTTCTTTATTAATTTCATTTGTTTATTAATTTTACTTAGTTATTTATTTTATTACATTTTATTATATTTTTTTTTTATTTATTTTATTCATTTTGTATTTTTGTTATTTATTTATTTTATATTAATTTCTTATTTTTTTTTGTGTTAGTTTTTATTTTCATATATTTCTTATATTTTACTTTATTTAATTTAGTTCAGTTTAATTTTTTCCTTTTTTCAGCACTTCATTTCCTCTTACCTTAACAGCACCTTTAACCATCAAAAAGAACCAATATAATTGTGGTAAAAAGAGTATCATAATACTTATAATGCAACCGCGAGGCAAAGTGGTCATGGCCTAGAAAGGAAATATTAAATTTTAAAAACCATTTAACGCAAAAAAAAGTAAAAATTTACCTGCCAGAAGCTCACATTTATGGCCACGCTATAACGGTACATCACATATGGCCACATAACGACACGAAATACGAAGAAGGAGCCCAACATTAGCAAACCATTTATAATATAAGCACGTGAGTCTTTCAAGCGCATGGTGCTCAATATGCTGCGCATCGAAACAAAGGGTGTAGAGAATTCCATCATGAACATGTAACTGTAAATGCAATGGCCGCCGCCGCGTATGTACTACAAGTAGTAAAATATAAAAAAAAATCGCTTTAAAAAATAAATAAACGTAAAATATTTGCACCAAAAAAACACACACCGTCACAACCAGCAAACCAAAAGTGCCAATGAAGACATGATGAATCATCATCACTGGATGCGTAATCACATATTTGATGAAATCCCATTTGCCATCCTTTGGTATTTGCACACATTCTCCATCGTAATCGTAGATATCATCATTTTCACGTTGCTCAGCGGACACACGCAACGGTGAATTATCATCATCACCACTGTCACTGCCGCCGCCGCCGCCGCCGCCACCACCACCATTGGCACTGTGCTTTTGTGCATGGCCATTGATAATATTGACGCCATTCGTTGAATTAGCACCTGCGGTCGCGGCATTCAAGCGCATCAGTTTCAATTTGTCAGCAATTTTTTGAGTATGCACTTTATACATCGACCAAATGTCATACATAAAGTAAGCGGTACCGAACCAACCATAGGCTTCCATTAGGAAATGTGAAGCGTAGACGAAGGATTTGCTGCATGTCGATTTGCATACAATGAAGCCGACCAGGAAGGAGAATGCGGCCTGTATGGCGGAGACGATTCTGTAAGAAAATGAAATAAAAATAATAAAGTAATTAATTCAGTAGTGGAATAAAAATTGCAGCTGAATAAGTTGTTGATGAGTAAATGAAATGTAAATTCAATAAAATTTATATAAGTATGTATTTAACATTATATATAACGTTTGTCCTTTACAATTGTTTTACGTTAGTTATTTTTGGTTTTTAGAAAGACCGGTTGTAATGAAGGCGGCGAGAAAACGTGCAGGTCTCATAACAGCTTGTTCAAAGCATTGGAGTTTATGTGGTTTTCTCCATACAACCAAGCACGGTCAACGAGAAAACGCAAACAACACAGAATAGATGAAAAAAGATTCCACCAAAAACTTCGCTCACGATTTTATAGATAAAAGTTAAATCGATCAAGAGTCCATACTCATAAACCGCAGGCCAGCTGGAACAAGAAGTTAAACGACTGACGAGGTTAAGCCAGACCAAGAACCGAAACTAAAATTTGTCTGTTAAAATTCAATCAGAAACAGTACATTGGTATAAATAAGAGTTTACAAAATTTTTCAAAATATTTTTCTTTATTCCATAGTCCATTCAAGTCAGAAGAAAAACTGTTGTGAATGGCTTTCAAATGAAAATTATTTGTAAATCAAACGTTTCCTTTTGCGTTTTAATTTTGGAAAACCATAAAAAAAGCAAAAAAAATTAAAAAATCAGAAAAAAAAGGTATTCAACTAAATCTATACAAATACGTGCAGACAAATTGATTGTGTCGATCTTCGATGTGTGAATATTAGTAAAGAGCAACATGAATTTCGGAAATTTTGGTAATACCAACTGTTATCGCTATTTGACGTCGCAAATTTTAGCCGCCTCCCGCTGTGGCAATTACTATGGACCCGACCTCTTCACAAATAAAAATCAACCAACTTTCAATAAATATCAAGCGCAACAGGAACGCTTACGCGTGCAGCAACAGCAGACGGAACAAGACTTTTTATGTCCCTCAAATTACAGCGCCTTCATCAATAGTGTCAATTATAATGTAATACCTGATGCTAGCAACCAGGCCGCCATGCGTTTAAATAAACAAATGGCCCTCCAGCAATTGGGACGCGCTAATGTCAACTGTCGCACTGATTGTAATGAGATCACCGATAGTCTCTGGTCTGCCGCAAAGAAGTCTAGTATCTATGTACCAGATACGGCTACTTCGTGGTACGAGTGTCAACGCGAACAGTATAACAGTACGCAAATACCGGATAAATGTAAGATGTTTGGCATCTCGACGCGTGAGTCATACCAACCGCATCAATATCTGCAATTGGCACGGCCCATACGCGAGGGCGAACAGCGTCTGCTGGATCCGAAAAGCTTTAAGCACATATCACCGGAGTTTCTTCAACTGTTGCAAGAGCACGAGAAGGCTATGTTGGCGCATAATCCATTATATGGTGTGGACACAAAAGGTGAACAGGCACCATTTGAACTGACACCAGGCGGTAGAAGGTTGCCAGGCGAGAGTGCGTCACTTGGGTCTCCCAACAGGTATTCGAGACGCTTAAATACTGATGCAACAACAGATAAGCAACAGCGTCAAAGTAAGATGAGAACAAGGTCTAGAACATCAGGACGACGTGGTCTCATACAGACAATTAGTGATACGTGCTTTCCGCCGCCACAAACACAAACCAAACGTCTTACGCAGGACAGTCGCAGAAGAAGTAAAGAGTATCGTATATCCGGCGGTGAGGATGGTGATTTAATTGTATTGAGCAAAAAAAAAACTTTAATGAAAGTGCACGCATAAAAATTCGTTCAAATAGAAACTCACACACTGACTGTGGTAAAAGTAGATTTTCAACGCAGAGTAATTCCGAATTGGCGGCTGTAATGAACGTGGATTGTAGAACGCAAAATAGAAACTTATTTTCTAATCACATGCCTAAACCACAGTTTCATGTAAACAGGGAAAGTTTAATTAAGACAATGCAAAAAAAGTTCAAAGAAAATATTTCAACCCGAAAAAGTTTTAGAAAGCAGCTAGAAATAAAGCGAATTGAGGAGAATTTAGCAGCAAAAGTACACCCAATGAAAGCTCGGGTAGAAAGTACTGAAACTCGTACGCGCACCTCGGTTATTAAAAAGCTGTTTTGGAATATCGGAGGCTATAGGAAAAATTATCGTAAAGAAATTGCCGATACAAAACAATTGCAGTTGATTTGGCAAAAGAAGGATATAACACGCATGCGTGACTCGGGCATTTTCCAGCAAATGGAGCGCATGAGAACATATGCGGAGGCAGAGTCGCGTTCCATTGTACACAAAAGGTCTCAATTGGACTGTGAACAGTTGGATCGACTTGAGAGCAACGATAGAAAACTGGCACAGAGCCAATTGACGAATTTGTATGCAAAAGCGGACAAAGAGAGCGCAGAAAGCAGCAAAAATATAGAGAGCAGGGAAGGAACTTTAGAAAACGATTCCAACGAAAGGCGAAAATTACAAAAATCAGAAAATGAGCATTCATTGTTAGTAGGAAACTGTCAAGGATATGAAGAAAGCAAGTGTTTAAATGTATTGATCGTGGAGAAAAAGCCCAAACAACGACCAAAAGCTGTGTGTACAAAAGAAAGTGTAACGGAGTTATTATATCTACGGCACGTTGTGGAGCCCGAAGATGATTTCGATCAAGTAGAAGCTGAAAAACAAGCTTTACTGCAAACAATAGAAAACCTAATGCCGAAAACGCAGGGCAAAAATGTCAAGAAATCTACCAACTTACCGAAGAAATGGCGGAAACAGCATCAGAAAACCAAAGAAAAATGTAAAAAACCGAATTCCCACAAGAAGGCAAAATGTTTGCGTGTAATTGTTGGTAAACTTAACACCGCGCATACGAAAAAGAAATGGCTTGATACGCAGACATTTGATAACAGCCTGTTTACGCGCATGCGCTCCAGCTCCGAACGTCCGTTGAATGGAAAGAATTGCGCAACCGTTAAAGCCAAAGCCAAAGCTAAAGTTAAACTAAACCGAGCAGCAAATGTTAAAGTACCAAAATCAAAATGCAAACATTATCAACGTGAAAACTTGTGCGCCAAGAGAAAGGCAAAGCGTCGTAAAACACTGCCACCTGCAGGGGAAACGCATAAGTTAAGTAGAAGAACGAAAAAAATATTAAATCAAAGGCAGCAGTGTTCTACGAATGTATCCATGAAAATACTAGAGAAGCCACAAAATACAAAAGTCCCATCGAAGCCGGAAAGCTCTTCTTGTTCAGTGAGTACAGACTGGCTTAATGCTGACACCGCCACTACAAGTAAGGCACCCGCCAATGTTGCACATTCGGAAAATGGTAATAAAACGCAACCGGCATTTTCATCTTACGCGAGCGAGTTGCTCAGCGAGCCAAGCACATCTTCACTCGAGCAAATGTTAGTGCACATCACTGCGGAACTGAAAAAACGTAATACAAGCAAACTGAGTATTTCTAATAAGCTCAACGCCTGTACTGCGCATAAAATCGTAAAAAAGGCCACAAATGCGGGTAAATGTAATAATAAGCTCGCGCTACAAGGTGCTCTGACGCACAACAAAGTTAAAGGTGGTAACAAGCCACCCAAGTCGTCAACAGCCATCATTTCCATACCACTTATGCAAAATCCAACATTTATACTCGGTCAACAAAATGGCCGTCTACCGATGGCATACACAACGGGGAAACGTGCCTTTTATGTACAGCCACCGCCAGCGATATATCTGCCGGCTCTTAGGAAACGTGTGAAATCACTTAAGATTGGTTCATTTGTTGCACAGGAATCGGAAGCTTAGTAAAATATCTGCAATCATACTACAGGCTCAGGAGATCTCTCTCTCTCTCTCTCTCTCTCTTTCTCACTCCCTGCGAATTAAAATTTGTGCATCAAAGAAAAGAAGTGTGTTCATAAATATCAAGTTTTAACATAAATTCAAATACCCCAAAATTTTTAATTTTGTTTTGAAATGTAAATACATCTTTACAGTTATTTTGTCCTAATAAATATTCGCTGTAACCTAAAAAATTTGCTTGCCGATAAATGAAAATATCTAGGCGAGGTATATGATCGAAGGAGGAAAGAAATCAGGAGATTACTAACATCGACCACTGTGCATAGTAGACTTTAAAACACAGTCACCACAAGAGCATCAAGATTTCGGAAGTGGAATTTTATGAAAATCGGGTCATTGGCAATTACTTCTAGAACCAAAGGAATCAACTTTATTGTGTTATGGAGTAGCAATCTTAAGCCAGTGAAAGAAGAGAGGTTTGAGATCAGTCGGATTACCTAAGAAAAACGTGATGCGAGCATAACGAGCCGCTTTGCAAGCTGAGATGCCACTAAAGGAAACTGCTTGCAACACGGTCACTTCTTAGGCTAATTAGGAGGGACACATGTATATTATATTTCATGCGCTCGATACAGTAAAACCTTCCTCGATTCTGTTTGTTAATGGCGTTATCGGAGTCAAGCCATAACCCATAGCAGACGTAGACCCACGTAGTCCGGTTGCAATTAAGCTCTGGATATTATGGCCAATTAAACATGTTCGTATTGAAACTGAACCGCGGCATACTTAAGGTATATCCAGACACTTAACACCGCTTCAAAGACATTTCTCTTCAAAACAACTCGTCTAACATCTCACACCCTTTGGACAGAATCTATCAAAACAGCTGGTTTCTTGGGACTCCAATTAAATTACCTCGATGAAAAACAACAAATAAAAATTAACAAGAAAAAGCTTTCGTAAAGTTCCTTAAGTGCTTCCAAAGTATGGAGCGCCTTCAAAAAGTATACTCAAAAATGCAACAATTAAACTGCCAAATTGCAGAAAGACAAAATTTTTTTTGTGAAATATATTTTTTTTCAAGTTTTTCGAAAAAATTATTGTAAAAAAAAAATAAATGAAATTTGGCGTGAGAAATTCAGTGTGTATTAAAGGCCCGGAACCATAGTTAACATGGCAGAAGGTGTGACGCCAGACGTGACACAAGCACCAACTGCGGCTGTGGCGAAAATAAATAATGATAATAAGAATGTCGTTAATGGCGCTTCGGCGCCGGCTGCAACCATGACCAAGAAAACCTGCGGTAACAAATCAGTAAATAAACCCAAACAAGGCTGGAGGAATCCAACAAACGCCAGTGCTATGCGTCGAAATGTTACAAAACCTAATCAACAACTACCAGATTACATACGCACGGAGATGGAGATTTTGCGTCATCTAAACAGAGTGAATCGCGACTTGAGAATTTTACTCACAGCGAAATGCGGACGTACGCCGAATACAACGCCACGACTCAAATACTATCAGGCGGTAAGACAGAGCGCAGGCGGTGTTGGACAGCGGGTTGGTGGTGTGAATTGTATGAAGAGTCAGAACTTCTTGACTAAAGCGAGCGCTGCCAAATCAAAGTCTGTGGTCTTGAAACAAACTAAGCCATCCACCTCGACAGGCAGGGCGCAAGTAGATTCCACTGGTACAGCCAAAAAACAAATGGACATTCGTTTGGAAGCACAAGGGACTGGCAGAAGCACACCAAAAATGAATAAGCGACCACTACAACGGCTCGTACTGTACTTTAAGCCCAAACGCAAAGACGATGATTCTAAGGGAACGTCTCAAGGCAAGCAGCCGAAAGTTGTAAATAAAACAGAAAAACAATTTAAGACGGAAAGCGCAATGAGGTGTAAGTCAAAAATGGACGCACAGCAACAAGTGAAACAGACACCGACGAAAATGAATGAGCAAAATAATAAAGGACAAAGTAAAAAAGCAGAAATAGCTGTTAAAGAACTGGAGGAGTTTAAAGAAAATTTAAAAGCGAAAGCCGCAATGAAAGTGACAGATAAAGTGAAAGTTGAAGAGGCGCGAAAATTAAAGCCAGAACCCCGAGATCAAGCGGAAAGCGGGAAAATGAAACAAAAACTGACGGAAAAAGTGCAAGATCTAACTGAAAAGAAGCCTTCAAAACAACCTAGTGCACAGGCTCAAATGACATTAAACCAAAATGTGAAACGACGCGGAAAGACGATCAAACAAAAAATGCTGTATCTGCGCTTGAAATGGTTAAGAAAGGAAAAGGAAGGAAAAGTAGTAGATGACAAAAGCAAAGTAATGCAAAACGAAAGCCAAAAACCCACAAAACCAATGATTGCACCAACACCCGCAACAACAACTTCTGAAAACGTACAACACGAAGCTACTGCGCCAATAGAACAAGTGGAAAGTACGCTTGTGGCAGGTAAATTTGGCAATTGCTTGCGTTTTTTCAAACCACACAAGAAAGTATCAGTGCCGGAGCCCACAGAGCCCACAGAGTCCACAGAGGAAAGTGTGCTCAATTATCAAATGCAGCAAAAGAAAATGCAAAAAATAAGAAAATCTCCTTATTTGGTCACATATAATGGTAAAGCGTCCACAAAACTAGATACCTATCCCGCTTACAGCTATGTAAATGTGAAATATATGAAGAATTTGAAAGCAAGCAAAGAGAAAGCAGCGAAAGCTAAGTGTACTATATTGATAAATGCACAAAATCAAAAAATCTATAAGGATCCACATGCCACACCGAGCACATCCTCACTGGACGAGTATTTCCGTGTGCTCTCCGAACGTATGACACGCGAACAAAAGGAGGCTGATGAACGTAAGCCTATGCGCCGACGCAGTAGGCGAGGTATCAATACCAACCCAAGTCATTTCAACTATAAGCGCGCACAGCCAACGATCCAACGACAATATAATCGGCAGCGTTGGTGAATTGGAGGATATAACGTTGTCACCAAAGCGTTTGGCGAGCGAAAAACTTTCTGAAAACGATAATGAAGGGAAAATGAAATAAAATGAATGGTAGATGAGTTGATTAAGACTGCATTGCAATTACGAGGTTTGATGCCAGCTAAGTTTATCTAATATATAATGATAAATAAAATATATTTAAATATTTCCACACAATTGAACGCCCCAGCGAAAAAGGATTTAGATTTCTACAAACATATTTTTTTTTTTAACGGCAAGTTGAGAATATTGCACAATTTTTCTTCGAAATGTAGGTTGTCAAATATCTTCCTTCCGCTTTTTTGTCTTTTGAATTTCGCGGCTATGTACAAAACGCTACAAAGCTCGTATCTGGCAACACTATACATAATTTGAAAGTTCTTGACATAACCTACAAAACAACGCTATGTATGATTTGTTTGGATATTGCGTTCAACAGTTATAGACGTGTAAACATGGAGTTCACTAACGCCGAAATTCGCGCTATTTTAAAGTTTTCCTTCGTTAAAGGAAAATCCGCTAGAGAAATCTTCCGTGAGATTAATGGTGTTTTGGGGATGGTACTCTATCACTTCGAACCGCGGAGGAATGGTTTCCACGATTCAGAGCCGGTGAAAACGACACCATGGATAAGCCAGCCGGCGGAAGACCTGTGACGACAAATACCGATCAAATCATGGAATACATCGAGTTAGACCGGCATATGGCATCTCGTGACATCGCCCAGGCTGGATACAAAAAAAGTTTGATGTTTGGGTGCCGCATAATTTGACGCAAAAAAACCTTCTGGACCGAATCAACGCCTGCGATATGCTGCTGAAACGGAACGAACTTATGGCCAGCCGCTTAATTCTACTGCGAACAACTGGACCGCTTGAAGCAGGCGATCGACCAGAAGCGTCCAGAATTGGCCAACAGGAAGGGTGTAGTGTTCCACCAGGACAACGCCAGACCACACACTTCGTTGATGACTGACGTAGCGTCAAGTGATTACCACCTGTTCCTGTCCATGGCGAATGCCCTTGGTGGTGTGCAGTTGAACTTAAAAGAGGCTTGTGAAAAGTGGCTGTCCGAATTCTTCGCAAATAAGGAGGGGGGCTTCTACGAGGAAGGTATTATAAAGTTGCCGTCTAGATGGAAACAGATCATCGAACAAAACGGCGCATATTTTAACTAAATCCGATCACTGTAACACTTTTTATAAAGCATTGAATGAAGAGCAAAAAAAGCGGAAGGGAGATATTTGACAACCTTTATTATATATTCTGAGCAATTTTTAATAAAAAGTCGGAAACAATAATTAGAAAAAATATAAATAAAATCTGAAGGCAAGTGAGTGGCAGCCACGAGTTTGCATTATCGACCGATAATCGATATCGATACTTTCAGTGCTGTATTTATGGCGAAACAATCACCAAGAATTTAAGCTTAAAATGTTGTGATTATTTGAAGGGAGCTTTTGGAAAAAATTTAATAAAACTAAAGTGGGCGTGACGCTCACTCTTATACTCACCGGAAAGATGTAATGAAACGCTCACTTTTAATTTGGAGAGCCAAAGAAGTAAGAAAGCAAATGAAAAATCAACAGCTTTTCAAGCAGCATGATAGCACCCTTTTTTGTTCCACTTTGGCGGCTTGAAAAATAATTTGTCTAATTTTTTATTTTTATTTGTTTTCACATTTTAAAAAGTTTTCAATAAAATTTCCGTGCTTATTATATGTTTACAAATTCTAAATTATAACTCTTTCTTAAAACAGGACTTACGAGGACACCTAGCCGAAACCCAATTTAACATGTCCAAGTAAAGCATGGAAATAAATCAAAAAGGTAGTTTTGGTTCAGGCAAAACTACGGCAATTTCTTTTCAAATTCATATTCGCGGCAAAGAGTGAGCTGAAATGTCTGCACCTACTGGAAGCCGAGTCGAGAAGCGCACGTTGCAGCTTAAAAACGAAACAACTGATGCACATAAGCGACGAAAGCATAAGGAGGACGCGAAGAAGAAACAGGCTGCCGAGGTACGCGAACTGTGGTTCAATACGCATGCAACGCGCACAGAGTCGCAGACAGACGTAGAAGACTGCGAATGTCAGGGATGTCAAATATTGCGTAATGAGCAAACGCAGCAAGAATTCAAATTAACGCAGATTTCCGCAAAAATTAACGCCACTAAATGCAGAGAAAAACAACATGATGAAGAAGTGGCAAAGGAAGACTGTACCTGTCATAAGACCTCAGCAGATCTCCGAAGAGAAAGACAAAGAGAATGTGACTATGAGTGGCACACAAGCTTACCGCATGAACATATTGCGGTAAGAGCATACCTGAAAAGCACACAAAGTCATCCTCCAACTGCGAATAGAAGATCCCAGCGGCGCGATGAAGCTCGACGCTATAAAGAGCTTAGCTCGATTTATACCACAAAACCATGTAACGGCAGGCAGCTTCAGCACAGTTCATGCAAGACTATAGCTTGGTGGGAACCACAAGTTTGCACAAATACGAGAGCAAATGAAAGTGCCTACAGGCAACAAGATCCCTCTCCCTCCCGCTCAAGCGCAAAACTAAGCAGGCAGCAAACCCCGAAGCGGCAGGAAAAGGTCGGTTGTTGGGAATTCTTTAAAATATTTAAGTCCGACAAGCAACAGCAGGAGACGGAAGCTTATGTGCGCGCACAAAACTCCAATCAATGCACCAACAAAAGCAGCAATAGACCACAAGAGTACAGCGAATCATCACTTACGCCCGAAGAAATTGAATTGCTGGAAATTTTGAGAACAACGTATGCGCGAGAGTTGCGACCCGAGCAAGACAGTAGAGCAGCGCAACACACGTCAAAAGCAGATACCGCTTGTTGTGCGCTTAAGAAGAAAACAGATCAACAAACAGCGGAAGAAGCGTATTACCCAATCCCAGTCGATACTCAGAAACATGTCGTATGTAGCTGTGGGAAAGATGCGGAAGCAGCAGCACCAGAGGAACAAGCGCCAAAAGATGAGGCTTCAAAAGAGAAAACCACACGCAGACGTGATAAAAGGCGGAAATCTAAAGCAGAAGAACCACAGCAACAGGGTAGTAATGCCGAAGAAAATAAATTCCGGTATCCCACCAAGACAACGAGCGATGAAATTCACGCGCCGAAAAAAGTCAAATCAGTGCAAGCAGAGCTGAATGCCGAGCACAAAACAGAAGTAGAGAAAAGTAAACCGGATAGCACGCTCTATGCGCCAGAGGGGGTGAAAGCGAAGAACAATAAAAGTGCAAAACCAAAAGAATTGCCCGCAGAAGCAGAAGCAGAAGAGAATCAGACATCTTGTTGTTCTATTTTTGGGCGTAAAAAAGCAAAACCAAGTACAGAAAAGGAGAAATCCAAAAAACCACAGTCAACAAAGCGAAAGAAGTATACGGAAAATAAGCAAAAATCCAAAGCGCAAGCGTCGCAACCAATTGGAAGAGAAAGAATAAAAGGCACAAATCTAAATAAGCGAAATCAACCGGCTTTTCGACCTAAAGCTGCGACAAAACCGAAGCTATCCCTAATGGATCCGACCTCCACTAAAGCGCCGGCGCCACAAAAACCTCCACCAGCTGCTACAAAAGTACAACAACCGTCCAAGAAACCTGAATCTCAACCGGGCGGTGATGGCAAAGTTGTAAGGCGGCGAAATCTACCAGCTTTTCGTCCAAAAACAATCCCGAAATCAAAACCTTCTAGCCGAAAAATTCAAGCCGAGCCCCAACCTGCCGGTAAAAGCTCACTTAAAAAGAAGCGCTCATCTGAGACGACCGGTTGCCTGTGTTTGAAACCGAAAAAGCAGGGAAAGCGAAGCACATTTGACGAGAGCAGTAGAAGAAAAAATAGAGATGAGAAGCACACTACACCGAAGATGTCCAAAAAGACACCTGATCTGGTTAGAAGTCAAGAAAAAATTGAAAAGCATTCATCAAAGAAATCAGATGAGACAAAGCGAAAGTCCGATAAGGACAAAGCTTTTAAACAAATGGAAGAGCAGACATCAGGGACTTTGTTATGTTGCTCCTGTCAGTCAAAAAGTAAAAAGAATAAACAAAAGGAACTTGAAGAACCCAAAACGTTACCATCGAAGAGTGGAAAAGTAGAAAAAGACAAGCGCGAAAAATCAGCTGAAACTAAACAAAAACTTCCAATGCCCAGACCAAGAGAACAAATTCAAAGAGACAAACCAAGGAAAAGAGAAGACATTAAACAAGAAAAAGCACCAAGAGTTATGCCAAAGAAGTCAGCTGGTTCCAAGCCAACACCACAAACAGCTAAAGGTCAGAAGAGGATAGAAAAGCAAACATCCGGGATATCAGTTTGGACCTGTTGCCGAAGTGGCAAGCATGGCAAAGGCGAAAAGTTAGACGAACCAAAAAAGAAAGACAGTAAGGCGAAAAGCAAAGACCTTGCTCAAAAAGGTGCGGCGAAAAAGGTAGAAAGCTCTCAACAAAAAGCCAAACCCAAAAACCAGGAAGAAGTGACGAAGCAATCTTCCAAAATGCCAGGTTGGTCCTGTTGTTCAAGTGGTGATAAAGAAAAGGAAAAATCAAAGAAGACGGCTATAAAGATCAAAAGTCACGACAAAGTTCAAAGGGACCCACCCAAAAAGTTAGACGAATCCAAACAGAAAGCCTCAAAGACTACCAAAGATCAGCAAAAAGCAGAAGAGAAACCTTCCAAAACATCGTGTTGGTCTTGTTGTTCAAGTGGTGGCAAGGAAAAGATAAAGCAACAAGATGAACCAAAGAGGTCCTCTCCAAGAAGTATAAGTCCGGACAAGGCTCGAAAGGACCGACCTAAAAAGCTGGAAGATTCTAAACAGAAAGCCTCAAAGACCACCAAAGATCAGGAAAAAGTGGAAGAGAAACCTTCCAAAACATCGTGTTGGTCTTGTTGTTCAAGTGGTGGTAAGGAAAAGAAAAAGCAGCAAGATGAATCGAAGAGATCCTCTCCAAAAAGTATAAGTCCGGACAAGGCTCGAAAGAACCGACCTAACAAGCTGGAGGATTCTAAACAGAAAGCGCCAAAGACCACCAAAGATCAGGAAAAAGTGGAAGAGAAACCTTCCAAAACATCGTGTTGGTCTTGCTGTTCAAGTGGTGGTAAGGAAAAGAAAAAGCAACAAGATGAACCAAAGAGGTCCTCTCCAAGAAGTATAAGTCCGGACAAGGCTCGAAAGGACCGACCTAAAAAGCTGGAGGATTCTAAACAGAAAGCGCCAAAGACCACCAAAGATCAGGAAAAAGTGGAAGAGAAACCTTCCAAAACATCGTGTTGGTCTTGCTGTTCAAGTGGTGGCAAGAAAAAGATAAAACTACAAGATGAATCGAAGAGGTCCTCTCCAAGAAGTATAAGTCCGGACAAGGCTCGAAAGGACCGACCTAAAAAGCTGGAGGATTCTAAACAGAAAGCGTCAAAGACCACCAAAGATGAGGAAAAAGCGGAAGAGAAACCTTCCAAAACATCTTGTTGGTCATGTTGCTCAAATGGTGATAAAAAAAAGACCAAGAAAATAGAGGAATCAACCAAAAGTCGGGAACAAGTTCAAAAGCAGTCTTCTAAAACCTCGTGCTGGTCATGCTGTTCATGTCGTGATACGGATAAAACAAAAAAGATAGACGAACCAAGCAAAAAACACTTAGATGCTAAAAGCCAGGAAGCGACTGCAAAAGATTGGTCAAGAAAGTCTGAAAAGACATCTACTCAAAGCCAAAGTCCAAGTAAAGCACCAATGGACAGATATAGGAAGTTGGAAAGACCTGACAATCCAAAGAAGAGGGACGATTCAAAGCAAAAATCGTCAAGGACTAAAAATCAAGAAGGTGTTCAAAAGCAGTCTTCTAAAACATCGTGTTGGTCCTGTTGCTCAAGTGGTGATAAAAGAAGGAAAGAGAAATTGGACGAACCAAAAATGACTGCTTCTCAAGGTATGAAACAACGCCAAGCTCAGGCAAATAAGCCAAAGGATTTGGATGATGCTAAACGAAAACCGTCCAAAACAAACGAGAAGAAGAAAGCACAAAAACAAACTTCGAAAACTTCTTGCACGTGTTGTGTTGTTAACGGCGATGAAGACGTAGAATCTAACAAATCGAAAGGGAGTAAGAGTAACGTTAAAAAGGGACCAACAGATTCTAGGCAAAGAACGGATGCACAAAATAAGCCAAACGATGCGAAGCAAAAGTCCGCCAAGACCACACCAAAAGACGAGCAAAAGAAACCAAGCAAAAAATACAGTTTGTTTTGGAAACGATCCAAAAAACATAAATCAAAGGTTGAACCCACTGAGCAACGAACAGCGCCAACCAGAACGGAATCTAGGGGGCAACTGAGTGGTGCCGAGCAAGCAGACCAAACAAAGTTCAAAATGGCCAAAAGTACGACTTCAAAGACACAACAAGATAAAGGAAAACGGAAATCTTCCAAGACGTCCATATATTCGTGTTGTTCCGGTAAAGAGCCTAAAGCCAACGCCGGAAGCAGAGAGGAACTCCAACCGGCAGAAGCATGTGCTTACGAAACTAAGCCAGAGGATATTTCCTATTGCAAAGCGCTCTACCAGGAACTGGAGAACATAATTACACAACAAAACCAATGTCCGCTACAGATTACCCAGCCACATATGAAAAAGCACAACAAAAAGCCAGAAAATAAAAATTTTAATTGTAAAAAGAAACCGAAACAGGACGAACAAAGCGAAAAGAGGTCAACGGAAGTGAAAAAAGAACGGAAAGAAAGTAAAGAAAACAAGAGTAGTAGAAACGAAACACATAACGTAGCGAAAACTACGCCAACAGAACATACCGAGCACAAAAAGAAGCCTCCAGCAGAGAGCGAAAGCTCTGCCAACGACGCAATTCCAGAAGTAGATTATGTGCCCGACTATGTGCTGGGAAAACCGTTCCAAGTAAGAAACAGAACACTGAGATACAGTTTGTTTACAAACAGCAGAGGACGGAAAAGGCTGCATAACCCAGAAGGGCACGAGGTCGACTCTCAAGCTTAAAGCGCAAAACTATATTTTGTATGATTCGCAAATGAAATACGAGAAAAGTTTGTTTTGAAATGTAGTTGTAGCGTTAAAAAGAAGAGGATGAAGTGAGCAAAGAAAATATTTTTTTTTTATACAAAAACAAACGTAAAACTTTAAGGCACGCATATTTTTCGTAAACACTGTACATCTTTTCGTGTAAAAAAAAAAAATAAATAAATAAAAACTGAACACGAAAATTTATAAGTTTTTTCGGTGATCGTAAAAAGAATGGAACGTCAGTTAACTGTAATCCAATAGTTTGTTCTTCAAAACTTCCGACAGCAGCCGTTATAGTTTTCAGAAGTGGAATACCCATGTTCATTTAATATTTTTTTTTTTCAACCATTAAAAATATAACTTTCCGCATGTCATCTCTTAAGACCTTGAGACCAATACTGCACCAGCCAAATCGTTCGCCATAGACATGTGTGCTCTGGGGTTGTTCTGATGGATGACAATTTCCTTCCTGTTGGCGAAAGCTAAGCGACTTCTTCCCTTAGACGGTCTAATTGCTGACAGTACATCTCCAAATTAAGAGTTTGGCCAAAAAAGAGCAGCTCAAAGCCTTTCTGGTCGTCTGTCCTGGCTTGGAGATTGTTTGTGACGGATCACTGCCCTTCGAACGCGAGCGTGTTCACTAAATATTGCTACAAAATGAGTCACTTTTGATCACCAGCTTTTTCTCGTTAACTTATGTGGCACCCATACATCGAGTTTCTTTGGTAATCCAACATTACACGATTTTTCGTGCAATTTTCAGCTCCTCGGCAATCGAAACAGTGCTCTCACGATGGTCAGACTCGACGATTTCCATTATTTTATCGGCATTTTCGGCAATTGGGCCGTTAAGCATCTTTTATAGACATTTGTTTCTATTATGTTCTCTCCTTTTTACCCGAATCTCTTATCCTCAGCCCTTATGAATTTTCGCCATGGTTACAGGAAATGAGTGTACTCGTGCATCTATCCAAAAACTCTAAGTAATATTCGCCTGTGATCGTTTCGTTGTGGCCTCTTCGAAGTAATCGAAGTGAATGACACCTTGTGCGTTCAACCGGAGAAACCCAGTTTCTTGATTGTTCTTTGGTCTCTGGTAGGATGTGGTGGATCCATATAATTCGTCTACTGTAACGCAACTGGATTGCATTTGAACATCATCAAACACTCCTTCGAACCGTGTAACCGGTTGCGCTTACAGTCTTGGTTGAGCAATCACGGCACCCATCGCGCGGATAGCTTTTTCATGATTCGTTATGCACCCGCTCAGCTGAGATGCCTACTGTCTCAGCCACTTCTATTTTCCGATCGTCCAATATCATTCCACGGATTTGATCAGCAATTTTTTTGGGCGACTTGGACATTTGACGTCCGGAGCTCAGTAAACCAAGTAAACCAGTAAACCATTGAAAGTGGTCACGTTGCGCCACACTTAGTATTTAGCAAGTCTTCCCTTGGTTTCGGTGATGTTTTTACGTAAAAAGCGCAGCAGGCTTTTAATCGATAACAGTTGACGAAAGTGGTGTTGTATTTACAGTAACTGCACGGCAAAATCAAAAGGTCACTGACTTATCAAAAAGGCTTTGGAATTTTCAGATGTGGAATATGAATTTATTTATTTTTCTTTTTTTCTACCTTTATAAATACAACCTTGCGTAGGGAATTTTCAAAATCTCTTTGTTAAAACTCTTTGAGGCTTTCATTTTCATAATTTAACAAAACAAAAATTTCATATTTTTTATTCTTTTCTGTACATTTCTCTAAACATAATTGAAATTTTCGATATTTAAGCAAAATTATAATAGTATATATTACGAAAAATACCGTTAACAAAAATTAGCATGTTCAACATGCATTAGTGATTGATCGAGAGACGAAAAAGCCTGAACACAAAAAAATACAGTTAGAATTCCACAAAAAAATTAACTGTTCTGCGCCAAATCTGCGATCAAACATACGCCGTTACAGTTAGTCGTTTCTGTGCTCGTCTAAAATACCGTAACGAAATGCCTTCAACTGCTAAAAAACAACGTAACAAGTCCCGGTCCAGTCTCAAACGCAATGATGGTCGCAACAGAAAGAAGGAGAAGGAGGTGCGCGAACTCTGGTTCAATCCACAAGCAACGAAGATGGGCGAGTCGCATGGCACGATGCAAGACTGTGATTGTAAGTGTCAAGTGTTGCGAAGCGAGAAAGTGCAGCAGGAACTGCGTAAGTTATCGAAAATTTACTCTCAAACCGACGTCACGGCAGCGAAGGCTGACGAGGGGAAGGCGAGTAGAGGTGGCTTTAGCTGTTTTAAAAAATCCAATTCAGCGAAACGTGCCGAGAAAGAGAATACGGCGAAAAGAAAGTCAAAGGAAAGAGATGCCTCAAGAAAGGAGCATGAGAAGCAACATCGTGTACGATCAACGTCTGCGCTGCGTAGATTCAAGACACGCGAAGAAGCCAAACGTTATAGAGAGCTCAAAACAATTTATACCACAAAACCACGCAACGAAGTGAAGGAGACGCCGCCCAAAGAGAAGGAAACGGCGACAAACTGTTTTAAGAGGAAAAAAGACAAACCAAAAGATGGCGGTACGAAAGCGCAACTCGATAACACAAGCGAAGAATCAGTTTACAGTGTCGAGCAGGCAAAAGTACATGAATCACGTAAGTGCGAGCCACGAAGTGCGGCTGCCAAATCCAAACCGATGCGTGCTAGCAGCAGGCAACGCGCGCAATCGCGCTCGCGTGCAGACAAAAGCAATAAAAAGCAGGCGAAAAAATCCGAAGTGGGGTGTTGCGGTATGCGTAAGAAATCGCATGTCGACAAGGAGGAGGAGGAATTTGAAGCTTACAAATTGGCGCAAAGCATGCCTGCGCGCACAAAAAGGCAAACAGCGTCACCGACCGAATGCCCCCTGACGCCGGAAGAAATTGAACTGCTGGAAAAGTTGAAAGAAACCTACTCAACAGAACCCAAAGCGAAAGGTGTACGAAAACCGCCACCGCCGCCACCAGCAGAAGAGGAGACCGGCTGTTGTGGCGCCAAGTCAAAAAAAAAACAACGTCGGCCAACGGACGAAGCGTACGCGCCTAGAAAGACAAAATCAGCCGACTTAAATGTAAGACGTAAAAAGAAGCCCAAAACTGGCAGAAGCAAATCGGATAGTTCATTTTATGGGCGGAAATTTTTCAAATTAACGAAACCGCGAGTCAGCTTTTGTATACCCTGCACGGGGCGGCGCACCAAACATGGTAAGCGAATAAAGCAAATATACAAAAAACGTAAGAAAGACAAGGGAAAAGCAGAAGAAACGAAGACAACTGTAGTCTACGAGCAAACTCAGCCCTCGAAGGTAAGAGTCCAAGACGCGCATGGTATTAGAAAGGCGAAACCAAAAGAAAAGACGCAACCAAAGCCTTCGAAAACGAAGGTACAGGAGAAATTACAAAAGCAGTTAGATGTTTCGGAAAAGAAAATAGAAAAACCGCTAAAGTCCCCAGCTCAAACTCCGAAGAAACCACTGAAAATTGATATCCAAGAAAAAGTCGAAAAGAAAGTCTCAGATAAAGCGTTTACTAAGAAGACAAAGGAAAAGCAAGCCTCAGATAACGTTTTTACTAAAAAGACAAAGGAAAAGAAAGTAGTAGCACAGAAGCAGACACAAATGAGACTGGAAGTGGCGGCAGAAGAAGAAGAGAAAGCGTCTTACATGTCATGCTGTTCTCTCAGCGCAAAACACAAAGTAAAGAAGGAGAAACCAAAAAAAATTTTAGCGACGGAAACGCGAAAGAAACACAAAGACACCGAAAAGCTTTCAAAGAAGCCATCTAAAAGCTCATGTTGCTCAGAAGTTAAAGAGAGTTTACAGCGGAAGTTAGCTGCCTGGCAGCAGCGACCTGCGACGGCGGAGAGCAAAGTTGAGGTTCAAAAGAAGACTTCCACAACGTCATACTGTTCAAACTTCAAAACGGGCTTGACGCAAAAACTAGATAACTGTCAAAACAGATTCTTGAAAATGTTAAGCTACGCTAAGAACGACAGAACAAAGCAGAGACAAGTTAAAAAACCCAAAGAAGCCAAGCAACAGCCAACTCAAGCCAACTGCTGTGCCAACATTAAGGCAGACTTACAAAAAAAACTAGAGTCTTGGAAAACTCAGACGACGCGACACAAAGCACAGCCTAAAGTCAAAAAGAAATCTTCAGAAACAGCCTGCTGTATGAGTTTAAAGAAAGAAATGCATGAGAAATTAGACGCTTGGCAAAAACAGAAAGCCGCAAAGGTTGGGAGCAAAGAAAAGTTGGCAAAGAAACCATCCGTTACGTCTTGTTTTTCTTGCTACTCGGCGGAAAAGTCGAAGGGAGTGAATAAATCACGAAGAAAAATAGTGAAACCATCGAAGAATGTTGAAAAAACACCAAACCCCTTAGAAACACTCTGTGCACTAGGCAAGCATGTAAGACCAAAAGCTAAAATCATGCCTGAAAAGCCGACAACGCCGACAAAACAGGCAAGTCCAACTCGAAAAGAAGCAACGAAACAAACAAGTCCAACAAGAAAGGAGCTCAAACAAATGAAAACAAAAAACGAAATCCCAGAAAGATCATCACAAACATCTTTTCACACCTGTTGGGACTGGTTCGATGACACCGCTGAGCGGGTGCGTGCACCAGTCGGGCCAAAAGAGACAAAGGAAAATGCGCCGCCCAAAAGTAAAACTTCAGCCACTTCATTTTTGACCTGCTGTTCGGGTTTGTGTCTACCCAAAAAATTCAGAGAACAGCCATACCGAAAATCGAAGCGGAAAACGGCGACAGAAACTGGAAAACGCGAAGAAAAAGAAGTGGAAGAAGAAATTATCGATAAGCCAGCGAACATGTCCTACTGCACGGCACTTTATCAGGAATTTGAAAATCTAATTATGCAACAACAACTGTGTCCCATACTACTCTCCGAAACAAGTGTCGCGAAGCGAACCAAAGGCAGCAGCATGAAATATGACTTCAACTATTGTCAACAGCACTTTTCGAAACCCTCACTCGGCAACACGGGCAAAAGCAGCACGCAAACGAAAGCCAAAAAGCATCAAGTGCCGGAAACGGCACAAAAGGAGAGTAAAGCAGCCGAAAACAATAAACTAAAGTCGAAAATTAAGGATAAAGATAAAAACAATGATGTAGATAATGAAAATCAAAAGAAAATCCAACAAGCACTCGGTGCGTCATACAATAAGAGAACCCTGCTTCAACGAAAGCACAGGCAGCAACAGACACCTCAAGCGTCGAGCGAAAAGTCCACCAGCAACTCAGAGATGCAGCCAACGGTGTATGTGCCTGAGTATGTGCTGGGCAAACCGCCGCAATTGGGCATGTCCTTAGCACATGTCCGGCATATACCCTACAATCTTGTCATAAACAGTTACGGACGTAAAAAGTGTGAGCGAAATTTTTCGAAAAATTATATTTACGGTATTGGTTGTCAAAATTAAGCAACAACAACAAACAACTACAACTACATATGTGACCGCCAAGCAATGCAAGTTGCAAATGTGACTGTGTGTATGTGCGGAAGGTCTCGTGTAGAATGTGGGCTTTGTGTTAAATTTGTCGATTAAAATATTTGTAAATAATTTTTTAAAAAAAAAAAAAAAAATAAGTAAAAAAGTCCGTTTTGGTAAAATATTTTACTGTGATATTTTAAAAGTTAAAATCATATTGAAAAACCTTTGCTTTTCATTAAAATGAGTACAGCGCTTCAAATTTTCAGGTTTCACTGATAAATAAGTTGTTTATATCTGATTAATAAATCTGATTAAAAATAAGCATCGCTTTGTGCCTGCACACTGAGGATAAGCATTGTTATCGATAAGTTTAATATCGATGCGCCGGCCATAACCACATGGATGGCCGTTACATATACGAGAAAGTAATAGGAAAGCACGCGCTAACTATTCGTTTGAATTCCGAGAAAATACAGATATTAAACAGTTAAAGTTGTGACGAAGCAAAATATCATATAATTGTCCTACAGACGGATAATACAATAACATAGCATATGTGTACAATAATTTACACAGCTGATATGCTGCGCTTGGACAGAACACCAAAATTGTATATTCTTAGCTGCTAAAATACAAGAGCTTTGACCCAAAAACACGTATCTGCAGAGTCAATTGTGCGAATATCTCAAAAATTAAAATATTTGACATAGTCTGCGCTGAAATAGGAGACCGACAAATGGGCCTACAACTAGGAAAGTGGCGATTTAGCACGTTATGCGCTTCACATCAGGCACATAAAACATACGGCATGTACAAATGTACATATATATGTATACGAGATCTGTTCAGTAATTAAAGTAAATTTGCCGATTTCGCAGGCCACCGAAAAAGAAGCTGCTTGAAGAGTTTTTGCGTTCGCGGCATGAGTGGGTGGTGGAGAGCTCATTAAGATCGTAACGTGTTCAGTGACTCATAATTATTGAGGTACGAGATGTTATTACTATTAAACAATTATTCTCTGAGCTATCGTCAATCAAGCAACATATTCGTGAGTGAAAAGTGAAATATCGGGAATAAATCGGATATCGTGTCATTATCAAGTAAAAAAAAAATCAGCTGCGGCCATAATGAATGAGCTGTCATTGATTTACGGCGACGCTAGTCCAGAAAAAAACGTGATATACCAGTTTATTTTGACGATCCGAACGCGGCTGGGAACATCGAAGATGTCCACATCAGAATTTAGCCAACTTATCCTCGACGATGCTCGACCAAAGAAGAGAAATAACTCGCATAAACAACAGCGCGTAGCAAGAAGAGAGTGTGTGTACTGTTACTGGAGACGACACAAGTGTCCACCATTATGAACCTAAATCGAAGCAAGACTCCATGCAGTGGCATAAATAGGGCACAACATTTTCCCCAGAAATTAAAGGTGACACATTCAGCTAGTAAACTCATGGCAACGGTCTTTTGGGACTCGGAAGAGAATACTACGCTTCAATATTAGAGCGACTTAAAGAGGAAATTGACGATAACCCTGCTCACGACAACGCGCACGTTCACAAGAGCCACATTGCATTGGCTGCCCTGTCAGCCCAGAACTGAAGGTATAAATCAACCAGGATACTCTAGCACATTAGCAAGGGAAAGAAGTGAGAAGTGACTAAAATTGTTATGAAGAATTGTAGTATCATTCTTAGAGAAGTGGCTGAGATTAAAGGTGGTTTACGCCATGCAATAAGCTCTCCCGAAAGTTTTGAAGTTAGTACCAAATTGTAGAATTTTTCAAAACAAACCTAATTAGCTTGTATGTACCCGGAAACCGAACCTCCTAGGGGTTAACTTTTTTTCTTGGAAAATGCTCAAAGTGAGTGAGCGACACTTTGTGATGAAGTGAAAAATATTGAATGAAAAAAGCACACACACAAAAAACACATTCAAACGCAAAATTACAAATGTGAATAATGGAAGGAAATTCCGCATTTGAGCCACGCAACAAGCGCAAATTACAATCCGATGCGGAGAGTCGCCGGAGACGGCACAAGGGTGGCATGCAAATTAATCATCAACACAAAAACGATGCGGATATACGAATGGAGACTATAATTTACAAATTGGATAGCAGCAATAAAATTGTACTACCAATGGCTCATGAAACGAACACGGACAGAGATTTTCTCAAATATGTACAAACCTATTTGGAACAAGCCTCGCTAAGCGATAATCTCGGCGGTAGATGTAGCATACTTGATAAACCGAAGGTGAAACACGTGCGTGCGCGTAACTCAAAACGTTTAAGTTATGAAAGTGATACAACCATTGAAGAACAAAAAATGCCGAAAACTATACGACGCAGGCGAAGTAGTGGCCGCAATACGCGCACCGGCAGAGATGTTGCGGCCGACGAGGATGCGATAACATATTTATATGAAAAACGTCCAAGTGAAAGTGTTAATAGAAAGGCAAAGATTTGTAGTTGTCAACCGAGATTACAGTACAATGTGGATGGCAGCTTTATCGTGCCGAAAGAGGCGGCATTTACCAGAGTAGCAAGTGTTGCGCGCGATAATGGACAAACATCCTGCGAGTTAAGTGAAGAGCAAATGTTGCGGTGTTTCCAATTGGTCTTCAAACAGCTATGCACTTTAAATAATGTTGATGGCACAGTTATGAATATTGATGTAGCAACACCCACAGAGAGCCCGTTAAGAAGCATACACAATCCTACAAGTAATGTACAAAACTCTACAAGTTATGAAGTTACAGAAAACACCACAAGGCATTCTTACACGCCCAGTTCTCCAGCCATTTACAACCAGCTCCCGCCACAAGCGATTGCGCCATTGCCAGCATACACGGAAAACTATATGGTGCCAGAGACAGCACTAGAAGCATCGACACAACCACCAGCGGTAACAAATCAAGAGCGCCAACCTCGACAGCAATCGCAAACAGAGCCACTTATACGATCGCACTCCGGCAAAACAATGTCACAAGAACGGTTCTTCTATCCGAGCCAACCGAAGAGTACTTTTACAGAACCCGTTGAAATACAAGTATTGGGCAAACAGTTTGATACAAATAACGAACCGTTACCATTACAGTTACCTAACAGAACGGGCAGCTATAATGATGATCCAACAAAGCGTCACCCTTTCCTTGCAGCACAGCGAACTAATGAAATGCAACTACAACATAGTCAACAGCAGAATAATCAAAGAGCGTTAGCGGGTCAAATGAACCAACATCACTACGCAGGTCAGGAGCAACATCAACAGCAGCAGCAGCAGCAACAACAACAACAACAGCATCAGCAGCAACAACAACAACTACTACATAATCAACAACAACAGCAGCATCTGCAACAGCTACATCAACAGCAACAACCACAACAACAACAACAACAACAACCAAAACAACAGGGGGACTATCAAAGGCGTCGCAGTTCATATAGAAACAGCGAAGCACGTGAAAGTACTTTTATGGAAAATTATCCAACAGAATTTGACTGGGAACGCATGATACCATTACATCGTTTATCGTCTGCACGCCAAAGCACCGCGACTCCCACAGCACAGGAGCTCGAGGATGTTGCAGGTGCAGGCATGAATCGCCAACAAAAGGACGCTGGGAGGCAAACCAACTTCAACTATCCGATGTATCCGTTTGGTCAACGCGATGGCTTGCAAGATGTAACAGCTGATAATGTACGGGTTATACCAAACATTAGGGTGGTCGATTACAGTGAAAATGATTGTGGTGTACCAAACTGCGCGCCGGGTGACAATGAGAGTTACGAGTACATCTTGATGCGTGTGAAAAAGAAAAAATTACATTGCCCTTAAGATTAATAAGTAAAAGTAACGAGTTCTAAGCAAAAAAAAAAAAAATTAATCAACATAAATTGAAATTTTAACATTCGCGAAAAGAACGATCTGTGAAATCCATAGTAAAATGCACAGAATCCAGAGAAAACATCACCAAATGAAAGTAATCTGTCACGAGACCTAGTTCCCTTAGGTGAAAACATGTAGATCCGAACTCATGATAGAGGTCACTAACGACAACGCGAGTGGAACTACTCCCAAAGTGACTGCAGCTGGACACCAAAGTGACTACTTTTAAAAAAAAAAAAAAAAAATCCAGCTAAATTTCAAAGTCAGCAATCAATTAATAAAAGAAATAAAAAAATAAATTTGTGCGAAACCCTCAGTGGACCGCCCTAAGAGAAAATCAGTTGCACTACTTCTTGTAGTCATTACAACCACCCACCAAAGTTACTACTCCGGAAGAAAATGTTCTACATTTCCCCATTCTAAGCAAAGCACTCTACTAACGTTTCAATTCACAAAGAATTTCGGGCATAGAAAAAAGTCAGCGCTTGACTTGAAAGATAAAAAATCAAAATTTACATTTTTTCAAACGTTAAATTATAAATGTGAACAATGGCGAAGCGGCTGTGCGCGGTTAATAGTAGTGACAATCACTGCAAGCGTAAACGCACGGCAAGTCCTGTTAAAGCCAGCGAAGAGTACGCTGAGAATTATGGGTTTAAGAAAAAATACGCAACGGCAAGTGAAGATGATAGCGCAAGCTCGGGGAATAAAAAGCGTAAAAAGATCGACGGAAGAGAGCAAAGAACAAGACATTGTGAAGCTAACGCTGAGAGAGCGCAGCATTACTACCGAGCGCCAACTAGCGGCAGATATTGCAGAAAAAGTTATGCGCAAAGCAGTGAGATCAACTCTACAACTGACTCCGAAACAACGCTTACAACAAGCAGCTGTGAGAACAAACAAAGAAAATTGGTAACCAAACAAAAGCAAATATCAAACGAGGATTTGTATAATCTAAAAACTGAATTTAAATACAAAAGAATTGCTGGAGGCGCAAAAAAATCGCTAAAGCGTACGAAGACTCATTTGGAAACGCCCACGGATGAGGCACTACGCTTGGAGAAAAGAGCTCACGTGAGAGCGCAAACTGTACGCACTGAAAATGCCGATGAAAACACAAATAACGGTACCACAAAGGAAATGGTGCGTTTTATGAATAAATTGCTAATTAGTTTGGGCAATGTGGAGAATAGTTTCTCAGCGGCGGTAAATAGTGTCTCAACGAATCGCCAAAGAGCACAACGAATATTAAATAATAA